TCAAAGAAACAAGTTAGTGAGTTACAATATACTACATCAAGGGAACTAGGATCTAATGGATCCTTTCCACAATGGAACTGCAGCAATTTGAGCCAACTACATTAGACTCTTGTATCAACTGGATTTCTTTCTTTTTTTTTTTTTTTTAACCATTTTGCCTTTGTCAGTGATCATAGCAACTGAATTACTGAATGTCTTATGTAATCATGTCTTGCCTTCTCCTTAAGAAATACTTTCTCAAAACAAAAACAGAGAAAAGACAGTGGTTTTATAGCCCTGGGAGTAAAAGTCCTTTAAATAAGTTTATTGGTTAAAGCAGTTGGTCAATTAGAATACTGAAATAGTCTACTTAAGATTCCAGTCACTGAATCAGTGGAAGACTCTAAATAATATACTATCCAGTGGATCTAGAATGTACACTGATCTACCAGGTGTCATTTCACTAATATCAGAATACACAGTTCTGGGGTCAAAAGGCAAATCTTGAGTAATAAAAACTTAAATCTTATTTAAATAATGATCAATTTTAGATATAAATGAAGCTGGGCCACAGGGTTCCCAGATATTTGGTCAAACATTTTTGTGCTTGATTCAGTGAGGACATTTTTAGATGAGATTAACATTTAAATTGGTGTACTGAATAAAGAAAATTTCCTTCCACAATGTGGATGGCCTATCCAATCCATTAAAGGTCAGATAGAGAAAAATGTTTGCCCTCCTTTGAGTAAAAAAGAATTCTGCTGGAGAACATTTGAACTGGATTATATACTCTGTAGATTTTGGATTCACCAGCTTCTATAATCTCATGACCCTATTCTTTTAATGTCTACATCCCCCACACCCCCTTAGATATATGTAATATACAGATATAGATATAACTATACAGATATATCCTAGTGGTTGTGTTTCTCTGGAGGACACTGTCTACTTTTGAACTTTTTTTATCTGATCCTCTTGGTTTTCAGCTCATAGGAGAATTTAAAAACTAAACAGAGACAAGCTGGCATAAAAGATAATAAAGTTTTTACTGAATTAAATGCTAAAAATGGACATTTTAAGGTTCTTTTTCCCACTAGACAAACACGGATAAAGGAGATAAGATGTAATTGACTCTCACAACCTAGGGTTAACTGGTTTGTTGCTGCACAGTGGGTATGGGGAATACTACTATGGTCTCTAATCCCACCATTGGTTTAGTCTCTACGCCCTAGGTTACAAAGAGTAACAAGCAACATCAGATCTTAGTGGTATAACATTACAGAGGCTTTGAATATCATTCATTCTTCACGCATTGGAGTGATCAGGCTCTCTCTATTCCTGTCTTCATTTCATGATACACACTAAGTATAGAGTCAGTATCTAGAGTGTGGCTGGTCATTATGGCAAATGAAAAGAAATTTTGGAAAATATACTTCTGCCTATAGTTTAATGCAAGAGATAGTTATATGTCCACTTTTAACATCTGGGATGAAAGGAAGTATCATAAAATCAAGTGTCTTAGAGGAAACCTAGAGATATATGATAGAAAGCACTAATATTGTCATGTGCCAACATGCCTATCAAAAATGTACATGAGAAAATATTTCCCCCCCCCCACAAACAATTCTACCAAAGTACTATCAGGTAAATATACTTAGTTCACTCTGCTGGGTATAAATTACCAGCCAGCTAAGATAAAGTAGGAGGAAAATGCTAGGTTCCACCAACAGCTTTTAACCAGTTGTGACTGTATAAGGTTTCATTCTTTTAATTGATATTTTAATTGATATTTTTAATTATTAAAAATATCACTTTAATTCATATTTATAGTTAAAATTGGAATTTTTGGACCACTGAGGGAATTGATAAAGGGAGAATAGCCATTACAAAGAGTTTTCCAGAGAAATGTAACTTAAACTTAGATATAGTAACTGTGACATTGGGTTGTCTAGAGGACATGACTATTTTCAGATATGTTCAGGAATATCCATATGGTTAGTGGTTATCTTTTCCATTTTGCATGTTCATAGCGAAAGTTATGTTGTTCTACCCAACTGTTAAGACTGTGGTGGATACCTACTGTTTATTCCTACCAAGAATTCACCTTTCTTCCTCAATGGCTCCAGCATCATCATTGGTTTTGAGGAAACAATCTGTTTGGATAGTTTCAATTGGACTATCAGACAAGATGCCCAACTCCACACTAGCCAAGGGTGTGGCATGATAAATACATAAGCTTCTCCATGATATGTGAACCTTGAGCACAGAAATGAAAACACTAAGAACAATTGACTGGAATCCATTACTCTGAACACTAGCTACCATGGGACTTTTCTTTTTATTGATGCTCCTTTCCTCAAACTGTCCTGCTTCCTATTTTCCCAAACTAATAATTTCCCAATTATTAGTTTCCCTAATAATTCAATGAGCAACCTCATAATTTTTAGTATATGTTATTTGGATAATAAACTAGAGCATATTTCTTTGCTTAGAAAAATAAACATAATTGATACTATATTCAACTTTACAATTGATTAGAAACATGCAAATAAAAACATAAAGTAGATATTTTCACTTCTCAAATTAGATATAGAGATTAATATAGATAGCCAATTTAAGGGAGGTTGGGGAAATAGGAATTATATACTATTGTTGGGATTATAATAAATAAATATAATAAATATTATTTTTATTACTAAAAGAAAATTTTTGGATAGTAATTTGGCAGAACCAGATAAGACTTGAAAAACTTCTGTCAAGCAATTTTACCTATAGTGACTTATTCTGTGAAACTATTTGAACAAGCTTTCAAAAGTACATAAAAAATCAATATCAATAATAATAAATAGTCAACAAATTGATAGAGTTAAAGCATAGTTGTCAATAAGTAGAAAACAAATGCAATCTAAACACTCATCAACAATGGATAGCTAACAAACTTACAGAATACCATGCAGGCCTTAGAAATAATGAAACTGTCTATAACTACCGAAAAGGACAAGGACAAAATTACAGGCTTTTGACTAGAAGGAGCAAGTTGCAAAACAATATAGTCTATACTCCAAGTTATGTCAAAACATATATTTGTCTATCAAATATATATTTGAATATATTAGATAGAAAGATAAGAGGTATTAGATAGAAATATATGCAAGACAGACATTTGTTTATATATGTTTATTTGATTGTTTGGGAAGATATACCCAATCATACTGGTAATTTGTAAGGAGTGGTAATTCTTGAAGTGAGACCAGTATCTGCTTGTTTTCTGCATAATATTCATTGCAGTGTGCAGGATTCTTACAATCACACACATACATATATTTTATACTTTCATTTTTTCACATATTAAATTAATACTATGTAGTATGTACTTCCATGTTTTCATATAATAAAATTAAAATAGAGTAGAGGATAATGAATGGCCTTAAACTGAAAGAGAGAAAGAAAACATGTAAAGCATATTTAAGTGTAGAGGCAAAAATAAATAAGTAAATGAAATGAGAAAATGGGGCTAAAAATCAATACTATTGTTGTATATTTACAAAGGTATGTTATTATTATTAATTAATATCAATACAAACATTATTGAAATTTGTAATATTTGTAATCATGTGGAAAGCACATGATTATGTACTTCATAGGCATTGCCCATTTAACTTCACAACTACTCTATGAGGTAGGTACTAGCCCTCATTTTACAGATTAGACAATGAAGGCCTAAATAGGTTAAATTTACAAAGCTAGTAATTGGTAGAGCAAACAGATACTCTGCTTAACTGTGAAATGCAAAAAAATTCTAGATTTACTTGGTTTTGTGGACCTACAGAGTTCTTGGCATGACTAAACTTTGGAATTCATTATTCTCGAAAGTCCAGAAAACATTAAAGGTCATGAAAAAGAACTACCCTAATTGAGCTTATGAGTTAATATCAAGTCTTTACTTTGGCTTGACTTTTTCTACCCTGATTCATTCTGCATGTGGTTCACCTAGCCTATATTCTGATCATCATTCCTCTAGATTCTGGAGCTCAATAAAGGCAGTATTTGAACTAAATTGTTGTGATTCTGGTAAGCCTGCCTTCTACAGAAAGGAAATTCATCAGATCATATCTTAGTATTTGCAAACCTACCTTAGACAGCAGGCAGCAAGGCATAGAAGAAATAAATACAATTGTGGGAGCCTATGCTTATCAACTATATTTTATTAACATTTATTTAACATAAGAAACAATGCTATATATTGTACTCAGCAATTTCAAGAGTAGAATTTCAATATTTGGTATATAGTTGCCAAATATGAGTTAATTTAAATCATACTTTTTTTTTAAAATGGAGCATGCAAAAGCTGATTAAACTCTTCTCTACTTATGTGGTCTAAAGTTTACTCTCATGTTGATAGAAAGAAAGGAGGTTAGTGGAAGAAGATAAAATTAATTATTTAACTAGGCCAAACTAATGATGATTTATTTTGGTACATATTTGTGATATGAGAATCAGATAGTTTATATTGAAAAAATAACTTTATTTCACTTTATCTTACCCATTAACAATAAAATATGTTACAAAGAGTGATATTCATTAGATTTTGCAAGCAATAAATTAAGATATCATATTATGATTTGAATTCTTTGTTAACTAGTTTTCTCCACATTCTGGAGCAGATCTATATTTTATATTTAATAAGTAAAAGAAAGGAGAATTATAATTCAAACACATGGCTTAGTAGTTTTTAAAACACAAACACTTGTCTAGTATGCTGTGTGTACTGTTATTGTTATTAGTATTATTAGTATTGTTTCACAATGTTTAGAAGGGAGGAAATTTTTACTTATAATTGAATGTCAGCTATTTCAATTAACATTATCTGTATTGTTTCTCTTATGCAGTTCACATTTAATTTTGTATATACTGATCAGTCTGCATTATTCCAGTAACATTGTTTATGGATATGACAGTCTGCTTAATAAATTAGTTACTATTAAGCAAGTTAATGGTAATGATATTATCCTTGGACTTACCCTGGCATTGGTCCATTCCCAGAAAGACTGTAAACCTGTCGAGGATTTAGTAGATACTGAAATTTTCTGTAAATTCTATGAAGATAAAATATAGAAAGAAGAGAAGAAATTTAATTATAATTAGGGGGTAACATCTCAATGTTATAAATATGTAATTGCAATTAAAATAGTTGATATGTATTGCATTAATAGTATCAGAAATATAATATCTCAATAGGAAATAGAGGAAATAGTAGTTCTCAAAAAAAATAAAAATAAAAAGAACTTGTTAGCCATTGTAAAGGCAATATATCTTAGAAGTCAGAAATAATGATGCATTCCAAATATGCATAGGCATTTAGAATATTCTCCAACTCACTTTTGAATATCATTTAGTTAAATAATTGGGTTTCAAATAAATATTTGGAAAAAGTATTTCAGTAAATTACTTAAATATATTCTCTCAATAAATGGAAATACATTCTTTTCTCCATAGAATTCGAGATTGAGTTGTTGGGCCAAATTAATAGAGATCAAAATTAGCTACCCCACACAAACAATGGGGTTATATACCTTATATGTATTTATGTAAGCAAAGAATGTAGCCTCAGATGGCATTATTATTTTATATAAACAATTATCTTGACCTGTTAATTCACAAAACTACTGTCTTAACAGATATGTATTAAATAATTCATTTTTTCTGAAAGAAAATAATTTTAATATAACAAATCAAACAAAAGTGTTTCTAAATTCTTATATCCCATATGGTTTAAATTTTTACACAAAATATTTAAAATAAAGGGTGATATTTTGATTTGGGGGATTACTTTTATATACACATAAAAATATTACTCTATATTCTATGATACTGACTGATAGAAATTCTGTAAACACACTATGTAATACCTACATATGTTTCCCCATCTTCAAATCTTCAATAACCCCACATTCTAGTTTCTGATTAGTATCTGAAGAAAGATCTTGGAGTTATTCTCAATAGATCCTTTACCCTGGCACCAGAACTCCACCAGAGGACCATCTTGTGCCTTCTAACTGAGAAATGCCTGTCAAGTTGGGGTACTACTATTCACTGGTTTAGTTCAGGTCTTTAATTTCTCTCATGGGCTCTATTAAATTTTTTAATTTTTTTTATTTATATATGACAGCAGACTACATTACAATTCTTATTACACAAATAGAGCATGATTTTTCATATCTCTGGTTGTATACAAAGTATATTCACACCGATTCATATTTTCATACATGTACTTTGGATAATAATGACCATCGCATTCCATCATAATTTCTAACCCCATGCCCCTTCCCTTCCCCTCCAACTCCTCTGTCCTATATAGAGTTTGTCTATCCCTCCCATGCTCCCTCTCCCTATCCCACTATGAATCAACCTACTTATAGAAAAAATTCAGCATTTGTTTTTTGGGGATTGGCTAACTTCATTTAGCATTATGTTCTCTAACTTCATCCATTTACCTGCAAATGCCATGATTTTATTCTCTTTTATTGCTGAATAATATTCCATTGTGTATATATGCAACATTTTTTTATCCATTCATTTACTGAAGGGCATCTAGGTTGGTTCCACAGTTTAGCTATTGTGAATTGTGCTGCTATAAACATTCATATGGCTGTGTCCCTGTTGTATGCTTTAAGTCCTTGTACACTCATACACTGCTGGTGGGACTGCAAATTGGTGCAGCCAATATGGAAAACAGTATGGAGATTTCTTGGAAAATTGGAAATGGAACCACCATTTGACCCAGCTATCCCTCTCCTTAGTCTATGCCCAAAGGAGTCTTATTAAGGAAGTTGGGGCCTAATCTGAGATGATGGAGATTAGAGCCTACTTTTTCTTCTGTTAGACACAGGGTCTCTGGTTTTATTCCTATGTCCTTGATCCATTCTGAGTTGAGTTTTGTGCATCGTGAGAGATAGGGGTTTAATTTCATTTTGTTGCATATGGATTTCCAGTTTTCCCAGCACCATTTGTTGAAGAGGCTATCTTTTCTCCAATGCATGTTTTTGGCACCTTTGTCTAATATAAAATAATTGTAATTTTGTGGGTTAGTCTCTGTGTCCTCTATTCTGTACCACTGGTCTCCCAATCTCTTTTGGTGCCCATATTATGCTGTTTTTGTTACTATTGCTCTGTAGTATAGTTTCAGGTCTGGTATAGTAATGTCACCTGCTTCACTGTTCTTGCTGAGGATTGCTTTAGCTATTCTGGGTTTCTTATTTTTCCAGATGAATTTTATGACTGCTTTTTCTATTTCTATGAGGAATTTCATTGGGATTTTGATTGGAATTTCATTAAATCTGTATAGTGCTTTTGGTAGTATGGTCATTTTGATAATATTAATTCTACCTATCCAAGAGCAAGGTAGTTCTTTCCATCTTCTAAAGTCTTGTTTGGGGTTCTGTAATTTTCATTATATAGATCTTCAGATCTATTAAATTTTTCACATTCCAGTTCCTTTCCCTACTATTGTTTAGGTATAGACATATTGTTTCCAGGATGAAATTCTAGTATCTTCCCAATATGGGCAAGTTAATCTCTTATCTTTCCCTTAAACTTAAACCTTGGTAAATCATTCCTAGTTGACATCAAGATTTTTCATGAATTTGTCTTTCTCTGTCCTACATGTGGGAAACATCTATTTAAATAACAAACAATATAAAAGCTACTTTTTCTTCAAAGACTTCTCAGTTTTTAGATATTTCCCAATTGGATCCTCCATAGCACCTTTATTTCGAACATTTCTAGTTTAACATTTATCATATACGATTCAATATATCTGCTTACATGTTTGACAGCATGCATGACTATTGCAAATCTTTTATCCCCAAATCCTAGTATTGTTTAAATTTGCCCAGTGGTTGCTGTCTGAATGGATGATATGTGAACACTTTCACACCTGTTGCATGGTATAGGGCACTGTTTGTGCATATATAATTCTGTGACTTTTGCAACTTATATGACATATCAAAGTCAAAATAGCTGAAATATTTTAATGGAAAAAAACTATGTAATCCCATTGTGAAAGGTATCTTGTATGCATACAAAAAGTTATACTTACATTCATAATAAATCTTTTTAAAAACATATTTACATTTCATTTGATTTTGAATGGTTCCAGTGAATGGATGAAGAGAAAACAGAAGTTACTATGCATACAGACTATGCATTCAAATTTGCCACGCTCTCCCCATAAAGTTTTGTTTCCTTATCATTTTATCCCTATATAATTGGTTTATAATTTATAAAAAATATGTACTGAGATAAGGGAAAGACAGTTATTAAGCTCAGGGTCATCATACATGATTAATGTAATTTTAATTAGAAGGAAATGTAGTTTCTTTTGGAAATATATTTTTAATTCTTTTCTATTGATTTCATTTGACTTTACTGTTTAACATAGGTTTAAATCTTATCTGATTCTTTGTGAGACATATTTGTATTCAAGGTAACCACAGTATATTTTTGCTTTAATTTCCTATGCTTTTGGGGTCTTGTCCAAAAATATTCTTGCCCATTGTAGTGTTGTGAGTCATTTCCCTTATCTTTTTTTTTCTAGTAGGTTCATAGATTCAGATTTTATAAGGTTTTAATACATTTTGAGTTAATTTTTATAAAGGATAAGAGTGACCTAGTTTTAATCTTTTGCTTGTGGATATTCTCTTACTACAATATATTGAAAAGACTGTCTCCAACACATGTTGTTAATACCTCTGTCAAAATTCAGCTGTGGAAGCACGAGTAAAATTCTGGACTCTTTTCTGTTCCATCTGTCTATGTGTCTATGTCTATGACAAAACCATGTTTTGATTACTACTGCTTTATAGTAGATTCTGAAGTTAGTGTCATGCCTCCTCTTTTTTTCTTTTTGGTCAATGTGTCTTTAGTTACTTAGGTTTTCTGTGTGATTTTATACAAATTCTAGGATTCTCTTTCCTAGTCCTATGTAATTGGTATTTGGTAGGGATTGCCTTAAAACTAGAGATCACTTTGGGAATCATGGGCATTCTACAAAGGTTGATTCTTCTAATCTATGAACAAGAACATCATATTTTTTGTGTCCCATTTAGTTATTTTAATCAGTGTTTCATAAATTTCATTGTAGATATCTTTCATCTCCTTGCTTTGGTTTATTATGATGTATTTTAATTTTTTGGTAACCTTTATAAATGGCATTATTTTCTTGATTTCAATTTTAAATACTTTGCTATTGGAATATAACAACACTGCTGGCTTTTGTATACTGATTTTTATATCCTATACTTTGCTGATTTCAAATTAATTTGAATTAATTTTATTAGATTTTTTTCTGATGGAGGGTTTTGGTGGAATGTTTTGGGCTTTCTATATGGAAGAACATGTCATAGGCAAACAGTAAATATTGGATTTGATTTTTCCTATGTGGATGCCTTTTATTTCTGTCTCTTGCTTGATTATTCTACTTCAGACTATGTTGAATAAAGTTGTGAAAGTAGATATCCTTATTTTATTCCAGATAATGGAAAGAAAGCTTATAATCTTTCCCCATTCAGTATGATGTCAGCTGTGGGCTTGTTATATATGGCATTTATTATATTGAGCTAATTTTATTTCTGTGCTCACTTTGTTCAATGTTTGATCATGAATAGATGTTGAATCTAATCAATTGACTTTTCTGCATCTACTGAGCTAATCACATGGACAAAAGAGATTATATCAAACAAAAAAACTTTTGAACAGCCTAGGGAACAGTCAACATAGTGAGTCTGGAAACTATACATATGGCTAGGGGTTGATATCTGCATGTATAAGGAATTCCAAAACATCAACAGCATAAAAAACTGATTGAAAATAAGCAATAGACATAAATAGAGATTTCTCAAAAGAAGATCATCAGGTATATGATAGGTATATGAAAAAAATGCCCCAAATCACAAATCATCAGAGAAATGAAAAACAAAATCACAATTAGATATCACCTCATTCCAGTGAGAATGATATTATTAAAAATACTACAGATATTAAGTACTGACTAGGATGTAGAGAAGATGGATCCCTTGCACTGTTGATGGGAATGTAAATTAGTAGCCATTGTGGGAGATAGTGGAGGGTTCTTTAAAATATTAAAAATAGAACTATCATATGATACAACAATCCCTCTTCAGCATATTGATTTCATTTGCTTTGGGTACATACTTCAGGTGCCTCTTCAGCATATTGATTTCACTTTTGGGTGTATGCACCCAAAGCAAGTGAAATCAATATGCTGAAGAGGCACCTGAACACCTCTGTCTATTGTGGTACTGTTTACCTCAGCCAAGAAGTAGAAACAACCAAAGTATCCCTCAGCTGATGAATGCAGTAAGTAAATATAGTATAAATTGACAGTGGAACATTATTCCGCCATAAAAATGTTACAAATATTGTTTTTGCAACAAAATGTATGGAACTAGTGATCATTATGCTCAGACACAGAAAAACAAGGGAAATAACCTCATTCATATGGAATTTTTTAAAAAGTTGGCCTCAAAAAGATTGATAGTGGAATGGTGGTTACTAGAGGCTGGTGTGACTAGGGGGAGGGAGGGTCTGAAGAGAGATTGATCAATGGGTACTTAGGGTTAGAGAGGAAGAAGCAGCTATTTCCCAGATGATGGCTATGGATAATAACATACATTTTAAAAAGCTAGAAGAATAGAGTGTGAATTTTCGCATGAGAAAAAAAAAAGATAAATGTTTGAGGAGATAGATATGTTAAATCTGATTTAAATAGTGTACAATATATACATATAATCCAAACATCACTTGGTACTTAATTAATATGTGCAATTGTTATGTCGTTGCCTGTTAAAGAATAAATTTAATTTAAATAAAAAATACTCAAAGTATAGACAGTTAACAAACTGCAAATGGCACAATAGAAAATAATTTTAGTATTATTATTCAATTACAATTTTATACCTGTTTGAGCAAGGCAACCATTTTGTGAAATTTTAACTATTAAGCTATTATTTATTTAAAATAATTCATATCTTGGGCTGGGGATATGGCTCAAGCGGTAGCGCGCTCGCCTGGCATGTGTGCGGCCCGGGTTCAATCCTCAGCACTACATACAAACAAAGATGTTGTGTCCGCCGAAAACTAAAAAATAAATATTAAAAAATTCTCTCTCTCTCTCTCTTAAAAAATATAATAATTCATATCATGCTTAGCAGGGTACAAACATAAACATGTTAATGGAAATTTTAAAAACACATTTTATTCAGAAGTAATATTTGTTTTTGATTGAAAAATGAAGTATTCATTTCATTGAAATACATTCAAAATTTAAATAGTAGGAAAGGATATTACTTTGCAAATTCTATCATTTATGAAAACATTTTCAATTGTTACTAGTTAAATCACAAAAGACATTTGTTTTCCCATTATACTGCTTGTGTAAGTGCTTTGTCTATTTGCTTATATTAGGTTGAGGTTAAGAAAGATATCTAGACATCATGAAGGTAGGCATAGCTACAGTTTTGTTTGTCACTGTCCTCTTCAATAGGACATTAGACTTATTCTTTAAGAGAATGATTTTCATATTTCTATTAAATATTATTATTTAATCACTAATCCACTATAAAATGAAATTGTATGTCATCAGCTAGTATATGAAGATATCTGATAATGCAGTGTATTATTATTCAGATTAAATATATTGTACTTTTCCAGAAAATATGGCTTCATTTTCTCCAAAATGTGCATGCAAAATAATTGTAACAATATATTTTGCCTAGAAGCTGGAGACTCAGTTTTTATTCAGCAGTAGTTATGAAACCAGGTTGTAAGCAAAGCTCTTTGTTAAGGGTTAAGATGGTAGAAGGGTTGTGAAGAATGCAGATACCTGAGCTATAATAATAAAATGCTTACAAAAAAGCCATTACTTTAAGTTTTAAACTATAAAAATTATTAGCAGTATATTATATGTAGATGCTGGAATTATATATATATAACATTAAAATTACTAAATGGTGAGGAATAATGTTCTAAACATGTGCACATCGCAATTTTAGCTGATCTGTTTATGTTTATGATATAGAAAATAAACATGTTATTTAAAAGCATACCGTTCTCCTTGCTTCCCACCACTTTTGGGGTTCACAAAAACTAAAAGCGGATGAGTTCCAGGAACAGGAGTGATCTAGAAAAAAAGGTTGGTATATGGAGAAGTTATTAGGCATCTGATATATGAAGAAGACTCCTTGCTATTTCTACATCATGAAATTTCAATGTACAAATTCATGAATGTGACACTTTTATTCTATAAAGTGTGTCAAAAGGAAAACCTTCTCTGTGCAGAGAGGTGGGCTTGACAATGTAGAGGGCAGAGGGGAAGGCCCTTAAGAAAAGAAAATAGCTGTTAGATGAAAACTATAAAGTTGCAGTTTGTGAGTCAGTAAGCAAATGAGCCAGAATAAAGAAGAATTTCAGGGAAAGATCATAAGCAAATAGAAAGATCAAGTGATACAGAAGGCTTCTTTTAAAGAGGCCCCCTTGTTCAGAGCTCTGTGGCCTTTGTGGAATCTACCTTTCAGACCACACAGGAACTTGAAACTCAGCAAATGTCTTCAGATGCATTTGGGCTGAGAAGTCTGTTCTGAGCAATCTTTCCTCAATGCTTTCTTTCCCAGCGTGGTGAGCAGAGTGCCAGTGAATCAAGTCTATTTGCTAAGACTCCTTTGGCAAAGGGTCTCTCTTTCACTTATCAAGGACTGTCCATGTCCCTACTACATCCTACGTGCTGCCTTCATCACTATTCACTTCTATGTGGAACAAGAAAGATCAAGTGCCCATACTAATGGAGGTTATATCCAAGGGGAGAATTATACACTAAACAAACAAATACATACTATTAGTGAAATGTGCCATGAAGGAAAAGGAGGTAAAGTGTCAGGACTTCATTTATGGGGGTAGACTTGTTTTAAACAGCATGTACAGAATACTTTTTTTTTTTAACCTGAATTCAATGTTAAGAGAGAGATGTAGCTGATAGAATGAACACTCTACATATTAAGTTGAAAAGTTTTAGAATAATCTGCTTTTGTGAAAGTATATTCAGAGTATTCTTTCTGCAGTAATATGTCTCTCCTAGAAAGTATCCTTAAATATTTAATGAAACAATTGAAAACAATAATGTCACCATATCATGCCCTTCCTTCCTATTCAATAAGTCAGAATATTCTACTAACATATTTTCTTCCAACTCTTAAGTACAATGGCATTTTTCTAATGAGTATAGACAATTGGAAAATGTTAAACTCCTCACATTAGCTAAATGAGAAAGTTGAGTAAGATCTTCTTAATTCATCTACTCTTATCCAGCTAGTTTTCATTACTATCTATCATAGTGTCTGACTGTTTTACTTTCCTTAGTAAAGAGCACCAGGGTTCTTCTTTCCTAATTTGCCTCTAAATCAACTGGAAAAGGTGAGCTGGAGTAACTTCTGTAGCAACTTCCCAGTTCACCCTGAACTAAAAGTTCTCAATTAATGAATGCATATCCAGTATCTACATATTAAAGACCTTGGGCTGCTGATATGTGCTTCTCTTGCCCATTCAAAACTGAACTGAATAAAAAACACACCTATGTCTAATAATTAGTGTTCAATTTCCATTTTTCTCTTATGTAAAAGTTAAACCTACCAAACAAATATTTTACTTGATTTTTTAACTTAATTTGAAGTGTTACTCCTTACTTTTGAAAACAGGTGAGAATTTCAGGGTAAATAAGGGATTTTGAGCAGAGCATTAAATCTGAACACACATATTGTTTTCTCTTTTCATTCCCAAACTCAACATTAAGCTTACCACTATATGAGTTTACATATAAATATAAATTTAAACTGGTTCCAAATTTGTAATTCTTTTAAAAAATATATTTTAAAATGTAGGTCAAATATATTTATTTTGTGAAATATTTAAGGCATCAACAAAAAGATCAAATAAAGGTCAGTAATACTTGTGTTATAAATTCCATAATATTATGAATAATTAGTTAGATATTTTAGTAGTCAGTAGAGTATCTCAAAATATAATATAAAATCTAGTCTGGGTGCAGTGATACATGCCTGTAATACCAGTAACTTGGGAGCTAAGCCAGGAGGATCATAAATTCTAGGTCAGCCTCAGCAACTTAGTAAGACCTTGTCTCAAAAAATAAAAAGTAAATATATATATACATACATATATATATATATATGTATGTGTGTGTATATATGTATATATAATCACACACACATAAGAATGAATGGGGATATAGCTCAGTAGTAAAGCACCACTGGGTTTAATCCACAGTCCTATAAATAAATACATACATATATACATACATACATACATACATATTCAGGCATTATTTTTAGGAGTTGTATTCCCCAGAGAAACAGATAAAATAGACTAGAAAAATAGGAGAGAATTTAAAGAATTTAGGAGAATGGCGATATTTCATAAGTGACAAAAGTCAAATATCCCATATGAAAATATAAAAATATTAAAATAAATTTGCAGTTTTCATCACATCTACCCTTACTACAAAAATGAGACAAATGTTAAAAATACAATGTGGTGTTTATTTGTAAGTTATAAGGTACTCTGGATTTGTGCCCCTGAAGCCAGAATTAGATAGGCAGTCAGTATGGATAGGTAAATCAAATCAGGTCAATGAAGAAGGCCTATTTTGAGTGAGTCTGGGAAGTTGGAGACTGTCCCCTGAGGGATTGAAATGTTAATTCCTTCAGAGTCCTTCCTCCACACTTTTCAACAACCTGGCCCAGCTCAAACCTGTTGCTAAGGTAAGCTGTCTCAAGAGCTATAAGGTTTTTAATGTGTCCTTGGCTACTCCATCCAGCCCTTCCCCCTTCAGCCCACCAGTTTCCCACCTTTGGGCCTTTCCACCAAGCATTCTTGGGCCTAGTCACCTATGCAGGAAGGATAAAGACAAGGGGGAAAAGGCAGGAGAACAAAGGAAGCCGGGGACAAATAAAAAGGGCAGAACACCCTGCTTCTTGGGATACCATGGTACCAGCTATGGCCCCCTTCTCCCTCCCAAGAAGTCTATGTCACACCTTTTTAAATAAGCCCTGCTTTATATGATATATGCTTGCCTTGCCTCATCGTGCTTCTCTAATGTTCAAACTTCAAAATTTCAACATGTGGGGAAGCAGGACTCATCACCAATAACCAGCGGTATCACCCCATTTGATGATATTAACAGGTACTTGACATAATGTAATCCCCATTTAAGGGGTGATATGTGATTGAACAACTACAACACTGAGTCTCTGGTGTTGAGGGACATATTATGGTGTTAGACTAGAAATGTTAGAGTTCCAGGCAAACCTGTCATGTTTTTCTATGCTCATTCAAAAAGCTTTAAAATTGTGTTAACCTTTGCAACTATAAAAAGAAGGCCCATCTAACTGAGTAAATTTGGATGCCAAGCAAAGACAGAACTCTTAGATTTGAGAGCCAAAGACCTGCAGTACTGCATAGTCATTTTCAAGTCTGACAAGTTAAAAATAAACAACTACTGAGTTCAGTGACAGTCTGAAATAAGCAGCAGTATCTTAGTGGTAGAATCTGCTTTTGGCACTTCAGTACCATATTCCCCTTTGCCCTGGGTAAAAGAACCTGGTGCATATGGCAATTTAGAAAGATTCCATCCTCCCATCCTATCTATATTTTGGAAGTTGCTGCTGCTTACAGAATTTACACACACACACACACACACATATACACACACCAGCACTTTTTAAGAGCTTTAAGAAATTGTAACTTCTGGTGTCTTGTAAGGTAAAAGGACACACAAATACATAGAAAGAAGAAAAATGCGTTTATGTTTTGTCTGGTGAGATCTCTTGGAAGTTACTATGACTAAATTATGTCCCTCCTGAGATTCATATGTTGAAGCTCTAAGCCCCAATGTAATGACACTTGGAGATGGGGTTTTCTGGAGATAATTAGGGTTAGCTAAGGACATGAGGGTAAGATCCTTATAATGACATTAGTGCCTATTGAAAAGACAAGATTCTCTCTAATCCTCCATGTCTCCCTCTGTTTCTCTTTTGGAACACCCAGTGAGATAGTGGCTGCCTACAAGCCAAGTGGTCTCAAAATTAATCTACTTTGCCTGTACCATGGTCTTGGATACCCTAGCCTCAACACTGTGAGAAAGTTTCGAATCTTTTTCTTCCTGATGCCAACATGAAATTTGGAAATTACAGTAGCCATCTTTGCTCATTAGTTGACTTTGAAGATGCCATCAATGGAGGACATGAAAGAGAACAGTAGGATTGGCATTCCCAATGAGACTGTGTAGTTGTCTTAGTGCCAGAGAGCCTACTTCTGGACTTTATTTATACGACAGAAAAACTGAAGGCTACGTTTTTCAATGCATTGTTGTTTTGTGTGTTCCCTGTTTTTGTTGTTTCTCTGCTAAATGCTGCATAACACAAATGTAAATGATGTGAACAAAAGCAAGTTCTATAAGGACTCAAAATGGATACAAATCATATCAGGCATAGAGAAATACTTAATTCCTCATCAAACTTATTAATATAAATCTAGTCTGGGGGTGGGAGAGAACAATTGTTCCTTGATATCAAAACACTGAATGGACTCTGTATGCTATTCTTATTTTTAATATGTTCTTACTTATTTTCAGTCAATTCTTTTATGTCTGAAAAAGTCTGAGACTAAGAAAAACATGTAGTCATTATTAGATGCGATATTTCAGTTACTTAGTCTAATCTATTTGATTTCAGATTCTGGTTTCCAGAGAGGCCAATTAGGTAGAAGTAACTTCATCTTCTGTACAGAATTTAGTCTAGGGGAGCTAATTTATACTATAACGTGAATCATATCTACCAAATAAAGGAATATAAACCGTTCTCTCAGTTTCTAAAACTCAGTATAATTGATTTCAGTGAATAAAGATTTATGTAGATATCTTTCAATAACATTTTTTAAATTTCACAGTGATAGTTTTATTTTTATTTTTTGAAACACTCTATTGTTAGTTAGTTTTTTTTATTGCTGTGAACAAAATACCTGACAAGAGCAAACTATAGAAGAAAAATTTAATGGTATATTCATAGTTTCAAATGTCTCAGTTCACTGTTGGCTGACTGCATTGCTCTGGGCCTG